CCCTGGCCGTGCCATGAGAGAGAGAGAGAGAGAGAGAGAGAGGGAGAGGGAGGGAGAGAGAGGCAGGCACGCACCAGGATGCCGACCTCCACCTCGCTGATGGCGGTCTTGATGTCCTTGATGGACTCCGGGTTGGACAGGTCGGCCAGCACGGTGCGGACCTCGGTGGAGGCGGTCTTGGCCTTGTGGGCCAGGATCTCCTCACGGGCGGCGGCCAGCTTCTCCGGCGAGCGGCCGACGATGATGACATTCAGACCCTTCTCGCGGAGGATCTTGGCGAAGGACAGACCAATGCCATCGGTGGCGCCGGTGACCAGGGCCCAGTTGCCATACGCGCGGATGTTGTTGGCCGGGCCGAACATCTGCTTGGCCGAGGTCATCGTGCACAGGGCCATACGGGCAAGGGTAGCCGCACCGACGGCGGCCAGCAGCCAGAAGGCCCAGGTGGGCGAGCTGGTGGCCTGGTCGAACAGCATGTTCTTGAGGAAATCCATGATGGAGAACACGACCTCGTAAGGGCTACGGTTGCCGGGAACCTGGCCCGGCGAGGGAAAGAGACCGGGCGAGAGAGGGGGGGGGGGGGGAGGGGCGGAGGCGAGTCAGCGAACGCGGGGACCAGGCAGGAGACCCCGGGCAGAGGGAGGGCAAAAGGCTCACGGATGCATGGACTCACACAGGGGGGGGGATTCGCGGCGACTGAGGAGATTATCGGGGGGGTGTCAGAGGCCGGCACCCTGGCCGGAGACGGACCGCACGGTGGTGGCACTTAAAAGACGCCCCGGCGCGCGCATGTTGCGGTCCCGCCGGGCCGGCCCCCACCCCGATCGCTGGTGCGCGCCCGCCGGGAACCGGCCAATGGGCAAGACGGCCCGCGGCCCCGGCCATCTGACCCAGAGAGTTCGCCCCCTGCCAGCCTCCGGCTGGGGGGGGCCGTCCGGCGCGAGCTCAGGCCCAGGGATCCACTCTGCTCGGCGACGCATCGAGGGGGGGGGGGACGTGGGGTCCACCGGAAGGGGGCTCCGGACGGCGGAAACCCTGGAACCCGCTGACCGCCATTTCACGGTGCGGGGGCACGGGTCCCGCCGGCGCGGGGAGACCCCAAAAGGGGGAAAACCGCGGAGCCGAACAGCCAGCCCCCAGCTCTCTCTCTCTCTCTCTCTCTCTCCCCCGGCCCCTGGCGGTCGGGGGCCGGGGGGAGGGGGGGAATGTGGGCCGAAGTTCGCGGGTCGCGCCTGTCGCGCGTAATTCCCGGGCACGGCCAGGCGGACAGGGTGGGCGGGGCAGGGGGGGTTGCCCAGACACTCCTCGCAAGACGCCTCACCTGGTGCCGGCTGGCCCTCGGGACGAGCAAGTCAAGGGGAAAAGGCGTCCTGGCTCCAGGCCCCCGCCCCCCCCCCCCCCCACCAGGGGGAGGGAGCCGGAAACATTTGCATTCAACCAGGGCCGGGCCGGACCATTGGGACCCGCCGTCCGGTGTCATATGCGCCCTCCAAGCTGGTGCTTCGTTTCCCGGGCCGCACTCTTGCGCTGGGCAGTAGCGTCACCGGAAGTGGCCCAGACCCCCCCCGCTGCCCCCGTGCGTGCCTCCAAGGCTTGTTTGCATGCGGACCTGCCGTGCGGCCCACGGCCGGGGACCCGGTGGGGAACGGTGAAAAACCGCCCCCCTGCCTCGCTCACCACACAAACCCACAAATCCACACACCCGCGCACCCGCGCACCCGCGCACCCGCGCCCCACAGACCACCAGGCCCCCACATCCCGGCAGTGGCGACTGTCGAGCGAAACAGCCCGAGTGCCAACGCAATGGGCAGTTCTATAGTTGTAGATTCGGGCGGGACGGGAAGCGACAGAGAACCCAGCACCGGCGTCCCACACGGCCGAGGGGGCGGGCCGGCGAGCGGGCGGGCGGGCGGGCCGCGGGCCGGCGGGCGGACGGGGAGGGAACGCGCCCCTGATCACTCGGACGGCATGGCGGCCGGCTGCAGCGACTGCAAGAAGGCCTCGAGCGTCAGGAGCGACCGGCGGAGGCTGGTCCGGTGGATGTTGCGCGTGGTGAAGTCCGCCTCGTCGGCCGGCTCGCGGTCGGCCGTTTCCGACCGGTTGAGCTCCCTCTCGACCGATCGGATGGTCGGCACGGCCTCGGGATCGAAGTCGGCCAGTTCCTCGGTCGACAGGGCAACGCAAATGCGCCCGGTGGCCGGGTGCACGCAGAAGGGGCTCTTCAGCAGGTGGTTCGTCTGCCGGGTGACTTGCACATCAAGACGCGGGTGGCAGAAGGCAAACATGAGGGTGTCGCACGCCTCCCCAGGGACCAGCCGCTCCAGAGCCGCCCACCGCTCCAGGCTGTCGGGGCCGGTGCCGATGCGGTTCCACTCGTCACGCACTCGGGCGTACACTACGTGTGTGGTGGGTATGGGTGCGGGCATGGGTCCGGATGTGGGTCCGGATGTGGGCAGGTAGGCATGTAAGAAGATCAGGGGTGGCCAGGGCAAGGAGAATGAGAGAGAGAGAGAGAGAGAGAGAGAGAGAGAGGGAGAGCACGCCCACAGCGGCCAGAAGGCAATGCTATCATGCAGGGCCCCATGGACATTGGCAAACGCACCATCGCGAGAGAGGGCCACAGACAGGATGGACTCGATGAAGGCCAGGGTCTTGGCATGGTTGAAGGCATTCTGATCGCGCAGGACCACCCGCTCGAAGTGGCGTCGGATGATGGCGCGCGCCCGGAGGGTGGGCGGCAGCCGCGGCCCGAGGATCCGGAAGTGCCCGTCATCCCCCTCACTGGCCAGGTTCAAGTAGGACACGATGGCCCCTCGAGCGTCGGGGGTCAGGAGCCGAGCTCGACGGTCAGCCACCCACAGGTGAGCCCCTCGCCGGCCGGAATACGCCCAGAGAGTCCGCTCAAAGCCGAAGTCCTCCCGGAGGGCAGTGGTCAGGATGTCCCCGGCGCAGGCGATATACCCGAAGCACCGGCGGCAGCACTGCTTGCCACTGCAGCAGGACCGGGCCCGGTCGTAGTCATCCATATCAATATCAAAGACCAGCTCGCGCTCCAGAGGGAGGGAGGCCGAGAGGAAGGCTGTCTTGCCGGAGGCGGGGCGGTTGAGGTTGGGTGGCTGTGCATCGACACGCGGGGGAGCCAACGAACGAGGGGGTTAGATGAAGGGTTGGAAGGAATAGGGGGCATGAGCGGGGCAGAGAGGGAGAGGGAGAGAGAGAGAGAGAGGGGGGGGGAGGGAGATGAATGAAATGAGCGTGGACGCACCCGCGGGTGAATGGCCCCCACCTCAAAGCGGACCGTGTGGTCAGCGATGATGGCCCGACGGAGGGCCCCCGAGTCCAAGAAAGACAGATGTCGGCGGAAGATCTCGGTCCCCGGCGCCGCGCCGGAGGGCTGCAGGACGATGGCAAATTCACGCCGGGCAAGATAGTGCGAGGCGGCTGCCGGCCGAGGGGCAGGGGAGCCATGCGGCGTGGGATGTGAGGAAGGTGAGAGGAGGAGAGGGAGGACTGGCCGAGGTGCCTCAAGGCGGGTAGAGACACAGAGAGAGAGAGAGAGAGAGAGAGAGAGGCAGGGAGGGAGAGGGGGAGGGGGGGCGCGGGAATGGGGGGGGGGAGGGCGTGGGCTGTGCGACAACATGGACACGCACAGGCGCTGATGACCGCCGAGGAGAAGGACTCGGTGGCCTCCTGCTTGATCTTGCTTGGCGGCACCTCGGCCGGATAACTCAGCCACTGGACCAGCTGGTTGAAGGGGAAGAGGTTGCGGTAGTAACTGACCAGCTCTTCGCGCTGGATCGGCTCGAAAGCGGGCTCCGGCTCGGCTGGGGCCCGGGGCGCGGGGAGCGAGCTGATCGTCGCGGCCATTCTATCAGCGGGCGATGAAAGACAGGAGCGGGTAGGAGGATCCGGTGGTAGGTGGCAGGAGGGGGGGAGTAGGGAGAGGGGGGAGGGGATCTGAGTGCGGCCAGAGGCAATGGGCAGGCCTTCGGGGGGGCGGCTGAAAGGCGCATCCCAGTGGTGGTGGGGTACAGTGAGCATGGCCGCGCCGAGGGGGGGGGGGGGGGGGGGGGGAGGCGGGGTGCTCGGGAAGGAGTGATCGGCCGGACTCCTGGACGGAGCCTCCCCCGAAGATGCCGGGCTCCCTCGGGTGGGCGGGGCCGACACCCCGCCCCGGAGAGGAACCGGGGTGGCCAGGACGCGGCGGGAAGTTTGGATTGGGCGAACCGTTATCAGGGCGTGATCAGCTCCGCGGCACGTGCTCTCGTTGGAACGAGCGAATGCCAGCGGCCTCGCAGCGGATGCCACACGCGCATACACACGCCCTCCCGGGCCGCGAGACGCCATCTTGGGTGCGAGGCGGGGCGCGGGGGCGGGACAAGGCCGAGGGCCAGGATAGGCGCGCTCCAAGGCGGCACGGCCGCCCTGGGATCAGGGTTTAGAAAGGCGATGCCCGCATCGGGGTGTGCCGACGCTCAGGTTCTGCGCCTGGGCTGAACAGCGGGTGCAGGCATCCGGCGAGGCCAAGGTGCCAACGGGGAGACCGGTCCAACGGCCGGCGAAACCGCCGCCCCGCCAGCGGCATCAGGAGGAACAACACACCAACCGGGGGAAAAGGATGTATTAATAATGCGCTGGTTGCCCAAGCTGCCTCGGAGATGGTCCATCCTTCGCTGGAGAGCCCTTTTGTTTTTCCCCAGGACAGGCTCTGTGTGCCCGGGACCGGGCGTGTGTTGTTGGGTGCTGGCTGCGCGACCGTGCGTGTGCTTATGTCAAGCAGCGCACTTGCCCAGGGACCTGTGGGATCGCCCTGGCCCCGGGGGACCGAGGTGGGATTAGCGCACCGGCAAGTGCCCAGAAGCAGCGCCACAACACAAGAGAGCCCCCTCTGGCTGGGGACGGCCGGGGGGAGGGGAGGATCTTCGCTTCGTCTCCCCGGGCCCTAGGTTCCCTGGGTTCTCGCAGTTCCCCCTGCTCCCTTTCCCCGGGGGGGGGGGGGGGAACCGGCGGCCCCCGCGCCGAGCGGGTGTTCGTGTTGGCACGGTACGCTCGGCGTTCAAAGGGGCACTGCCTCGCCGCAACGCACAAAGCACGTCTTCAGCAGGGGGGGGGGGCGGGGGCGAATGCGCGCCCACTGAGACGTGCCCGGCGAGTCCGCCCGCGGCGCGAAAGCGGTTCTGGCGATCCCGGTCTCGTGGACTATACAAGCTGGTAGACCTGGGACGCGGCGTGTGCGTGCCAGATCGCCAGCGGCCGAGCGGCCCCTGCACGCGTGTGTCCCCCTCTGCCGCGGTTGGTGACACCTGCGCCCTTGTGCCCGGGGGGGAGGGGGCGGGGGGCGGGGGGGGGGACAGACACACCGAGCGGGAGAGAGAGAGAGACAGAGGCCTTGGGGGCCGAGAACGAAGGACGACGGGGCTCGGACGGGGAAAGACAGAGCCGGGGCCGGCAGCAGGTGCAGATAGCCGGGCGCATGCGTCAGGGTTCCAGCGAAGCATGCTTCCTGGGGGGGGGGGCGGGGGGCAGGCCGGGAACTGGGGAAGCACGCGCATCCGCCGCGTGTCTACGCGCAAACTCCTCTCGCCCATTCGCGCGTGCTCTCTCTCCCCCTCCCTCTCTCTCTCTCTCGCTGAGTCTTCTGTCTCCCGGTCTTGCCCCCTGTCTGCCCATCATCCTCGGTCTTCGTGGCCGCTGGATTTCCCGCCGGGTCCCTCGGCCTGGGGGACGTCCCTCCACATGGTTGGGGAATGCCTCGTCTCCGGGGCGAGTGTCCTGCCGGTCCCGGCGCCTCCCACCAACCGCCCACCCGGCGGGGCTTCGGCATTCTAGGGTCGTCCTGCGGGCCGGGCGGGGGGGGGGCAGGCGAGCACGAGGTGGCAGAGCGGCGCCGGGAGCGCGCCCGGCCAGCCCCCTTTCCTGCCTACTAACCTCCGTGCCTCCTCGGCCAGTTTCCAGCGTGCGCTCCGTCCCCCCCCCCACCCCCTACCTTCGGCCCCCGGAAGGGCGCGAGAGCCGCTGAATACTATTTCTCCAGTCTCTCCCTTTGCATTGTCTCCGGCATCCTGCGGAGGCCTTCGGCTGTGTCTTTTTTTTTTGTGGCCCTGCCCCCC